TTAATTATTGACTTTTATTTGCTTTTGTGTGACTTTTAATTGCATTATTTAATGATAAGCTCATGACAGTACGATGTTCTGTATGTGAGTCTGTCATCAATATCCCTGAGATGTAGCGGCTATGTACACACACACACACGTATGAACGATATTCATACAATCACGTTCAAATCGTGGAAATACCCACCGAGACTCCCTTGATTTTCACTTGATTTGATTGGTAGTAGTATTTTCCATATTTCAAGTTTGAGTGGTGAATCATTCATATTGCATGTATTTGGTGTAGACTCGATGACCAACGAAGATTCAGTAATCAACCTCTCCCACTCTCCACCTAACTAGATTACTTTTTAGAATTTTAACCCTCTCCCATCACCCTATTGTGTGGTTGTGTGTCAATGCATGCAGTGCAATTCAGTGCTGAGCTTTTTTCTAAATTACTTATCTTCTCGGGTGGGGTCAGCCATTCTTGCCTTAGCTAAATTCTTATGTTCTGATAATCTGACTACCCCTGACCTACTAGTTTGACCAATATAATTGACCTAACTCACAGTCATTGCAGGGTATTTTGTAAATTATATTATTTTGTCTAATTGGGTCAACCCACAGGGTATTTTAACTTACAGAGCTTGTCCCGGAGTGAGTTTGAAGGTTTAAATGCCAACCTAATTCCTGGTTTATTGAGAATCCTACGTAGGGTCTGAGATGTCCCCTCTTTATATGGTATAACTGTTGATGACTTATATTCTCTCTTATTTATGTTCTTATTACTAGTTTCACAATTATTTTTTTTATTTTATTATTCCTTTGGCCTTTTTCAATCTTCCTGATGAATTTTATAGGATAGTTAGTTGTTTAACACCAACGCTTCTTCTATCTGTTTTATTTCATTATTGAGGTCTTTTCTTGTACTAATTAGTGCCACTGCTCGGTTTGTTAAACACTTAACTAAGCCTGCCTTAACAGTCAACGGATGAGATGAATTAAAGTCTAAGTATCTATTAGAATGAGTTGGTTTTCTGTACACACTAGTGTGCAGTTTACCTTCTTCTATTCGTTTTATTTTACAATCTAACATCACAACTAATTCTCCTTGTTCATTTTCCGATTCAAATGTGATTCAAAGTCGGTGATCAACCTCTCATGAAGCGTACTAAGCTCTAGTCAGATAAAATTACTTGAGAAAGCAATAAATTTCAACATAACAGTTAATAAAAATTAAGCCAGAGGATGTCATTCCTAACATAGAAGTAGCACTAGGTTCAATAGATAAGATGATAGCAGAAGAGGTTCGAGCTCAATGTGCATTAACCCTGAAAAATCAAAAGAAGTTAAAAAGTGATGCTCTAATTAGTCTAACACTGAATAAAAATATTGTCATCGTAAAAGCTGACAAAGGAGACGCCACCATAGTTCGGAATAAATCTGATTATATCAAAAACGTTACTGAACATATTCGAACGGGTCCATATGAAGAAATTAAGAAGCCTGTGGATACAATAACGAATACAGTTAATACATCTACAGCAGAACTAATGTGCAGAACGAAGCAGTCACTGGGTGAGTCAAAATGGTTTAATTTAATGCCTGAAACTATTAATGCAAGTAGAATGTATGGTACTATTAAAATACATAAGCCAGGTTACCCGATAAGACCAACAGCAGATTTTAGAAATACCCCCACGTATGAATTATCAAAACACTTAGCTCTAATACTATGCCCCATTAGAAATCGTTCAAACTCTAGATTAACTAATTCATATCAGATGAAAAATAAAATAAACGACATTCAACTAGAGAATGATGAAAAAATGGTTAGTTTTGATATGACTAGTCTTTATACTAATATACCAGTCAATACGGCCTTAGAAGCAGTCAAAAGAAGAAATAACTGCGGATCCTGAACTCAATCATAGAACAAAGCTGCCCATTGAACAAATTATTTTAGGGATTCAGTTATGCCTCACATCTACTATCTTTAAATTCCAAGGTAAAATATATAGACAAACAGAAGGTGTAGCAATGGGATCACCAGTATACCCTATTGTAGCAGATATATTTATGGACAGCTGGGAAAGTAGTGTTCGTAGTACATTTAATCCTACTCCAAAAATATGGTGCGGGAGATATGTGGATGACACTTTCACAGTGTTAAAAACAGAACATATTTCTAGCTTCTTGACACACATAAACTCACTAGTGAAGGGAATAAAATTCTCATCTGAATCAGAAAATGAACAAGGAGAATTAGTTGTGATGTTAGATTGTAAAATAAAACGAATAGAAGAAGGTAAACTGCACACTAGTGTGTACAGAAAACCAACTCATTCTAATAGATACTTAGACTTTAATTCATCTCATCCGTTGACTGTTAAGGCAGGCTTAGTTAAGTGTTTAACAAACCGAGCAGTGGCACTAATTAGTACAAGAAAAGACCTCAATAATGAAATAAAACAGATAGAAGAAGCGTTGGTGTTAAACAACTAACTATCCTATAAAATTCATCAGGAAGATTGAAAAAGGCCAAAGGAATAATAAAATAAAAAAATAATTGTGAAACTAGTAATAAGAACATAAATAAGAGAGAATATAAGTCATCAACAGTTATACCATATAAAGAGGGGACATCTCAGACCCTACGTAGGATTCTCAATAAACCAGGAATTAGGTTGGCATTTAAACCTTCAAACTCACTCCGGGACAAGCTCTGTAAGTTAAAATACCCTGTGGGTTGACCCAATTAGACAAAATAATATAATTTACAAAATACCCTGCAATGACTGTGAGTTAGGTCAATTATATTGGTCAAACTAGTAGGTCAGGGGTAGTCAGATTATCAGAACATAAGAATTTAGCTAAGGCAAGAATGGCTGACCCCACCCGAGAAGATAAGTAATTTAGAAAAAAGCTCAGCACTGAATTGCACTGCATGCATTGACACACAACCACACAATAGGGTGATGGGAGAGGGTTAAAATTCTAAAAAGTAATCTAGTTAGGTGGAGAGTGGGAGAGGTTGATTACTGAATCCTCGTTGGTCATCGAGTCTACACCAAATACATGCAATATGAATGATTCATCACTCAAACTTGAAATATGGAAAATACTACTACCAATCAAATCAAGTGAAAATCAAATGAAAGATAACGGAACTATATAAATGATATCTGGAATTCCTGTGATTACCTTGATATGATTATTAGCAATAAATTTTGCTCGAAACGTCATCAGTAAACATTACTGTATAACACTGTGAGACTTTATGAAAAGAAAATTAGCTAATAATGTAATTACACTCTACCACAGTGCACAAGTTTTATTCTTATACCCATCATGACATCAGAGGGAAAAGAACAAGTAGTTCAGCAATGATGGCGATCTTTTCGGCGATTTCATTCTTAAAACTGTACAATTACATTTATATAGATTGGTTTACATGGATACAATTCTGATTTGTTGAATTCCACATAATAACGCAGGTGATAATAATTTTCAACTTGATATGCAAGTTTCAAAGTACGAATATAGATTACAAGGGGCTTAGAGACAAGATTGCATAGGATTAGAAAACAGTTACAAAATTAATATTTGATAACTGGAAAAACAGTTTTAAAGGCGAAAAAAGGTGACAATTGTCTTCAACTTGATATGAATTACAAGAGGCTTAGAGACGCAGGGATAGAACGAATTACAGGTGTGAACGAATTGAGCATGGAAACAAAATGAAACCAAAATTTTCAACTTAAAATGTATGTTAGTAGGTGTGAATATAGATTATAAGAGGCATAGAAGCAAAAAAATTACACAAGATTAGAATATGATTGTAAAATGGTTATTCTAAACGGATTTCATGTGTGATAATGAGGAGCATAGATACATAATTTAAAATAACTGATTTTGTGACTGAAAAAAAATGGGATGTATTAAACGAAGGCGAAGAGAGAAAATTACACACACACAGAGAGCAAAACAAAAAAAGCTGAAGAATAAGGGAACATACCAGACAAGGTCCATTGTACTTGTAAAGACTGGACTAGTTACTTTTAAACACATAGCTCCGGCTTTTCGATGCATATGGTGAGGGTTTCCATGGTACAAAGGAGTCAGGAACACACTGTCTTTGTTAGATTTTTGCTCACTTTGTAAATGACTCTAAATGATGAGTCAGCTGAGATTCTGTGACAGGTATTGACCAGATGTTCAGTTATTGCCCTTCTGATTGAACCAGTGCCTTTCCTTTGCAGCCATGATGGATGATGCTCTCTAACACGTTTTGATAAGACCGGCATAGAACGACGTATGTATCTAGCTCCACAAGAGCAGGTGAACTGATATAAACACATTGAAGTGGTTATATGCAGAAGTCTGTCTTTCCCGTTGCTCCAAATTAGTGGAGGGGGAGCTAGAGACTATCACTCTTCATGTAGCTGCCGGATATGTGGAATTAGATAAATAATAATTGTATCCACGTAAACCAATCTATATAAATGCGATTTTACAGCTTTTGTGAATGAAGTTGCCGAAAAGATCTACATCTTTGCTGAACTACTTTTTCTTTTCCTTCTAATCACTTCCAGTCAGAGTAGTTACTTGTCATTTGTTGTCAGCAGTTCAACCTAATCCCTGTAAGTTACTCAAAAAGGCATATGGCAGGTTAATGCGTCAAATGATGGAATAAGACTTCAGTAGTTGACAGTGAAATATTCGAAATGGTTAACTTCTCTAGATGTAGAAAAACAACTTTTGATGCGTTTTGACGTTCTACAGATAGTCAGTGAAATGTAGATGGATGAATCTTGTTAATGTAGTCTTCCTTAGATTCAGACAGCAAAAATTATGTGACATCTATTGTCCATTCTACTATTACTGACCTAAAGACGTCGACAGTACGAGAGATACACTGACGCCGTAATTTGATTATACCAAATAATCCACCAACCACTACTGAATTGTGTCAAGCTATGGTTATGCTATTCAGAAATTCTCTCGCCTAAGCCTGCATGAAGATATCACCAGATAGGCTTTTCTGTAAGTTTACTAGGAACCTCTGATATTCTTCACATTAGCAGTGATAAAATATCTCGCCTACGAGATCCACTGACACTTTTTCCATCCTGCGTGATAAGTTCCATGCAAATTAGAAGAGAAGATCAATAAATTCGAATAGTTTGTTAAACTGTACTTGGGATTTTTGAATTCTTTTGTCCCACCATTATTGGTTTTAGTATTGCAGTGATAAACGCAGCTTAGATTTCTACTTGAATTCAACAGATTCTGCTTACACTTTGTCAAGTCGCTAGAAAACATCACGGATGACAACAGACAACCATTTCTCACTACACCCAGGCCTTATCGCTTTTAAAACTCGATTCATACAGAAAGTGTGTCAGATCCAGGTTCCACAATGGACTATGAGATGCAGCTGTTTGTATTATCTAATCATCCGTGGACAGAAATGTAGATCACATTCAGAAACTGTAGCACCTAATAGTCTAGGGAATGTCTGTAATTTTGATTAAGGATAGGTGATAGACAGGGTAGACCTCTTATTTGATGGTACAGACTTGTAATGTGTGAGGCGATGAGTAAAGTATGTCTTAAGGCAATAGTCATTCCGGTTGGTAAAATACCCGATGAATAAGGGAACTGGATATTACATGGTAGTGGTGACCTGTAAACTTCGGACACCAACTTATTCTCAGCAGAAGACTGTTAGGTAGCATAGTAATTATGACTCTCACCGACCCTGCGCATGGTCCAAGGTTCGATCATCTGCCCACGAATACCTGTTACCGATGGTCGGCCTGAAAAATTTAGGCTACCGATATTCATGCTGAAAATTCCATACTTGTACCAAAAAGTACTGTGTGGAATCGAGCTGTAATCAAAATAAATAAATTAATCGCATTACTGTTCATAATGAGACCTGAATAGAGAATAGAGAAGACGAAGCATTCTTGGTGCTGCCAATCAGTTATCGTGCATTATTACTATGATTCAAGGCATTGAATCAATCACCTCGTTTAACTCTCCTTGATTTCGCCCAGTTATTTTGTGGTGTTGAATGTACTAACAATGTTCTCTGTTGTCTTTACATGTAGGCGAGAAAAATGTCAGTGTGGCACATCGAACAGACTATAAATCAAACCTTTTTCAGACGTCGCATGATGGGAATGCCCCTCATTTAAGGATAGCATTAAACAGAAGTCCTCCAACCTTAACTACTGGAAGACCATGTCTTGCTGGTACCCAAACGTTGAAGCATCAACAAGCCGAAGAGAAACGAATCAGTCTGAATTTGACCAATGAAAGCTTCTTTAGTTTGAATGCTCGCGAGTGTACTGAAGAGTCGAGTGGATTTGACCACGTGTTGTCTGACCAGGGTAATCCAAGTTATTTTGAGAATGAAAACAAGTATGAAGGTAATTTACTTTGGGCTGGACAAGGTCAAGTAAGACTGGAGGAAAATACCGGTGATATGGTGTAGAGAGGAGTGATGAGTTTATAAATGGTTCAGGTAATGGCAGCAACAATTACAATAATCGGTGGGATCCAGTTATCAAATCAGTGTATCGACCCCTTGAAGCTCAAGCAAAGAACTCTAGTGTAGCTGTAACAGCTTCACCTTCGAGCTCAGGAGGGTCAACAGTTCATTACGCTTGTGATGACGAGTTTGATTACGATTCGATGGTTGAGCAGACACATAAGATTGCCAGTAAGGATTTTCAGACACTGGACGATAATCTAACATTTATAGCAAGTTATGTGGAAGAGCTGACAGGCTGTGGTGAGTCAAGAAAATTGACATCGGCAACAGCTGCAGATAATCGTATTGAGAATGCACCATTAACCTTAAATTTACAACACCAAACAAGCCACGATATCAACAACAACAACAACAACAGCGACAGCCATCACCTCAGTCAATAGGCACATCACTACCACATCCTGTTCATAAACAAGAAGACTACAACCTCAAAAACTGCAGCAGCTACAACAATTGTGTCAAAGTGCAGTTTGGTTATTGTCAACAGGGAACAGTACTGTGATTGGAAAAGGTAATTTAAGGTTGGTTGCTGTTTGGTTGGTTGCTATTTATTTATAACATTATCAGTTGGTTGGTAAAGATGTAAAAGGGGTTAATTTATCTAATTTCAGTAAATACAGTAACGGTTCTTGTTGTCTGGTTTTTACTACACTTTTCAGCGTATAATTTGGAATGTGATGCGCTGTCTGTCACCAAAGCTTGAGGATATGGACATAAAACTAAGTACTCAGTCCTAAGTCATGCACTTGTTAATATAGTGCATCCCACCTCACTATACTGGGTCTCAGTAGGTGGTCAGTTGAGCATCATTATTATGTACACATTTTTCTTAGAGGAACATAGTACTTCAAGCTTTCAAGATTCAGCAGAGATGCTGGTGTTTTTACAGGGTATGACTGTTAGCCTCACTGTCAACCTTCCCTTCTTCCAGGTGTTACTTTCGTCTAGGAGCGTGTCAACTAGAAATCAAACCTAGCTGTCTTGCGTCATCCGCGTGCATTTTCTATCATTACAACAGTGGAGCATGTGCATACATTTAGTGGGGTTAACAACCTTAGGTGAATATGTTCAAGGGGCTTCATTGGTTACGTCAAAATACAATTACGAATAAATCTGGATGAGTAATATGAACGACCATTTATCTTGTTATAATTCTTATGTAGAGATTCATAATGGTCATTACCTTACATACAATTTCGAATGATAAGTCACTGAATTACGAAACTCTTATTTTTATATTATTCGTGATGTGTCTCTTCATTTTGTTGATAATTTCATGAGATTAATTAGTAATCTATGTGCTCTTCTTACATACAGATCTCACTAATTCCCTAACCGAAGACTTCCTTCTCAGCTTCTCGGCAAATCCAAATATCACTGAGAATCTATTGAACAGTTTCTTGACGACTGTTGATTCACTTAATGAAAGAGGTAATCGACGACCTTTAACTGAATCTGATCAGTACGATAAACCATCTCCTTTCACAACATATCACTTACCGAACCAGAATTGTCGAGTTACCAAAAATGACTTGACATCACGTGAGAATGTCTCTACAGAAATATTCTCCACAATACATCAAATGTATCAACTCAAAAGAACTTCCAGGATATGCATTCAGTTGATGTGCATCGTATCAGCAGTAGTAATGAGAATTCAGTAGGTGCTTTACGTAACGGAAAGATCAGTGCACCACGAAATCCCTCATCATCAGCTGACTACAATCGTTTGTTAATCCACCCACACAGCTGATTGCTAATGATATAACGACGGATTTATTCTCCCAAACAACTTCGAATTATACTCCATTTCTAGTGAAATTGTTGAACATGTCTCAATCACCAATGAACACCTCAGGTGGTCAAATGAATACTACAGTATTACAAGAACAGACTGATGTAATCCTCAATCTTTTGGTAAATCAGAGGGCCAGCATTCAGTCGAATTCAGTATGTAATAATAACAGTGATAATAATAATAATGTTGGTAATAACCTCCCACAAATGTCTCACGAATATTCTGCAGTGGGGCGCATAACAAGTTTAGCCAGTTCATCCCTATCTGGTTATCAAGGGAATATTCTTCCCTCTCTTCATCCTGCCAAAACGATCAGTACCCAATGTTAAACAGAAGTCTTACTGAAAATCTGTCTCAGGTGATCTCTTATCAACAACGTCTGAATTCATTCACAAATGATGTAGACAAAGTTGCTACTGTCTATAGGAATTCAGCGGGTAGGTTTTAAGAGTGAACTTGTCATCAGTTGACATCTTCACTTTATCTGCATATTTTATTAGTAACAACATGTCTAGAAATAGGGAATTTTATTTTTATTTTATTTAATTTCTGTTACAGCTTGATTCCACACGGCATTTTTGGTACAACTATGGAATTTTCAGCATGGATATCGGTAGCCTAAATTTTGCAGGCCGACCATAGATATCAGATGTGCGTTGGCAGGGATCGAACCTTGGACCATGTGCATGGTCGGCGAGAGTCCTAACCACTTTGCCACCGACGTAATAATTAGCTTACAGAAAGTGATGCTGTTCCCAACATGTTTACCTCTGTACACCGTACCTCAAAGATTTGCAGGTTTGAAGTCCAGAGAAGAAAATTTTAAGTGAAAAAAAACATTTACTGACGAACTACTTATCAATATTTAGTTCATTTAAGACTATTCCGCTTTTTGTGAAACTTCATGCATTTATTCCCCTTGATGAATTTGAATAAAGCAAGAACAACAGTGGTTTAGCTGACTACATCAATAGACATAGCCTATCCTGCAACTAAGCTCGTTCCCGTCCATCGAACAACTTGCTCTTTGGTGCAATCAAAAATCGATAGATATCCTCCTCATGTTAATTCCAACTGAATATAGAAATTTACAAGTATCTTCGGGAGCAGTTACATTGGGAGGACAAAAAGAAGGGGATATCTACGATTCTCTGAATATGTACCAAAAAGCTTACGTCTAAAGGGAACAAATGCTTTAAACAATGCCATCGCCAGGCATCTCCTCGAAACGGGTCATAACGTGGAAATCGAGAAGTCGTTTAAAATTATCAACAGAAAAGAAGCTCAATTCTCCGCAAGTTTTCCGAAGCAATTTCTATCAAACGCTTCAAACCAGCAGATTTATGTGTTCAGAAAGAAGCAGTTATTAATTAGTCTTCCCTTGCCCTGGTAACTGGATGCCTTTATTATCTCATCTGATTACGTAATCTTTGTCTTTAGCCTCACCCCTCTTTTTTCTATAATCTGTAATTTTGCTTGTCTCTTGTTTCTATGACGTGAGTTGAACTCAGTACAATGTTACCTAATTTATTAGTCACTCTCCATCTTACGCATATCTAGTCTTTATTATGTAACTCCTTTGCCACTGTATGCATACATTTATTTGTTTTAACTTGAACTGCCTGTGTAAAAACTATACAAGCGCAATTTTCTGAGCACTATTCACTAATTGTGGAACTTTCTGTCAACTGACAACATGTAAAATTTGCAAGTATGCTAAAACTTTTCTGAACGTAAACCTCAAAATTTATTTAGGCTGTAAGCAGATGATGAGAAACCAACAAAATAAATGATGGTACCAAATTATTCTGCACAAACCACTGTTGTTCTTGCTTTATTCAAATGATATTTTCCGTTGACTGATTGGATCGAAGTGCTGAGTTTCAGGTGGACATATGGGCTTCTTGTGAAAAAATATCAGTATGCTAGTTGATTTAATGGAAAATTATTTATCTAGTTAACAGATTTGGCTGCCGTTCGTTAGATTAGGCGTTCAACCACGACTGTAACACTGTTCTTCTCACTTCAGCTTTAGATGTCATGAAAGGTGCATAATTGTGCACTTGGCTGCTGAATAAACTACTGGTCAGTCAACCATTCATGTTTTTCTCTGATACAAAATACTGGTGAGCATTATGTTTCCCATTTCAGGTACTCTAGCAGCCAAAGGCGAAACCATCTATCAGTGGTCGGGGAGACTACCGCTTGCCAATCACAAATCTGGACCGTTTTCTCGGAAAGTATTTCTTGGTGGGTTGCCGTGGGATAGTACAAGCGATAAAATAATGAAGGCTTTTTCTCGATTTGGCAAAGCTACTGTCTGCTGGCCATCAAAGGATGGTAGCCCTATAGATAACAAAAGATATTCAAGCAGAGGTAGGTGATTTCCTGAATAAATAGTAAGAAGCCCAATTTCCCCTTACTTTGTTTCATCTGACTGACGCTGGAAAATCTTCCTATTTTAGGCTACTGTTATCTAATATTTGAAGAAGAGACTTCTGTTTCTAAACTATTGGCAAACTGTTTCGAAAATCCTAACAAAGCTGGATATTACTACAAAATGTCAAGTCCTAAGTTCGTATCCAAAGATGTGCAGGTAGGCACATGTTTTACGGTGAATCTTACATGTTTGTTCAAGAGTGTGCTGTTGAATAATTTCTCTTAGCTGTAACTTCAAGATAGTGGAAAAGATTGAAATTTATAAAATGAAATCATCCCATGAATATTGGAATGTTTGTGGGTTTTATCGAGCTTATGATATACACTGTTGATAAATCGACTGAAATTCCTTTGAAGTAGGTTATCCGTCATATGCAAATATGCATATCGCCAAAACAAACACCTACAAAATAAATTTAACTCTTCTCAAGTCTGTCTATGGAACACTTTGTACTTCACTCGAGTTAGCTGACGCTGAGACATCCTATGTCGGCAGAAAAATAGTAAATTCTTCTTGCCCGCGAGGTACACTACACCCCTCTCATGATTATGGACTGACAAACAATTCTCCAGGTAAAACGTACAACTTGTACTTTCCACCACATTTTGTAGTCTGACATGTGGAAAGCGCTCCGTAAGCGATGACGGTAATTTGCTTTAATCTAAAACAGTATTTATGATACAGTGTGAAATTCTCAGCATTGCATCTAATTTACTCGACAACAGCAAATTTAAAAATAAAAAATAACTGAGTATATGCAACCACGATTGATAATGGCAGCTTTTTGCTATTATCAGTGAAGATTAGGTCAAAAATGTAGAAAATGTGTACAATGATGACGATAATAATGCTAATAGCTAAAATTATAAGTTGATTGAAATAGTATCACCATAGATTACAGATAGGGGGTGGGGGCGTATAAAAGAACCAATTATTGTGCTAATAACATAGTAAGTCGTAGGTTTCACGCCTAACACTATGTCTATCACGTAGAATGGGGGCCAAATATGGTACTGTTGAGTTTTGTACTTGGTTATACGAACATATAATCTTCCATAATGACCTCTAATCCTACCAGATGAGATGCAACAAGGAGAGATTTGAGAATTGACAGGGTGTTGACAGTCAGACACTGTGGACTTGTAAGAGTATTTAAGGCCGGAAGGAATCACCAACAAGGAACTATGGGAACAAACAAATCGAAACAAGAACCAATCGCCCAAAAAATATGCTGGAGAAAGTGGAGATGGATCGGACACTCGCTGAGGAGACCGCTGGGTGACATCACGCATCAAGCCATTGCTCGAGTGGAACCCGAAAGGGAAGCGGCGACTGGGTCGTCGGTGCAAGGGTGACATGGAGGAGATCGTGTGAAGAGGGGTTGAAAGAGTGTGGACTTACATGGATGCAGGTGAAAAGTACAGCAGAAAACAGAAGCAAATGGATTCGTGCAGCTGAAGCCCTATGTTCCACTAGGAAACCAAGGGAGCAATTATAAATAAATAATAAGAGTAGCGATTGAGTGATTCCCGGCTGTTTTAACTTTTTAATGTAGTAGGTTGAACGGAACACTTTCATAAAACGTTGGCCTAATGAGGGATGATAATGAAAGTTTAGAGGATATAACCATAACAAGGTATGTAATGCTTGACTTAGCCTCTATTTTAGTAGACTCAGCGCTGCATGCTTCTCGTGAACAGACCAGTTCTTTCAGATAACGTTTTTGCCCAAAGGTGAATCTAACTGTCTGACATTTGGGGGAAATTAACATATGGCCGTTTAGCTTAGATAACTGGCTGATGTCCAACAAAAAGGTATTAATTCTGGAACAGTCAGATCGGGGGAGGTATTTAGTCACCCCGGTAACTCATATTTCGATCAGGAGAAGACAATAGAAACTGGAGTGCGATTTATTCTACTTCATCACAACAAGTTTATTCAACATGTTGAATTGAATTATTTGAAGAAATTAGTGCATTCTGCATAATATCAGCCTATTTACACAGAGAATAAATGTCACGAAAATGAAATAGATTCTGTGATGTATATTTGACAGTGGACAGGAATGCAACTCAACAAGCACATATCTCTTACTTCAAACATATTTCAGACAAATGTGGTATTACTCGTTGTCATGCCGTCATTCAGATTGAAGGCCAATGGCTACTGTATTGCGTTTCAAAGAACTCTGCAAATATTGGAGTGTTTTTAAGAAAAATAATAAAATATCCACTGACAGTCTTCTGAGTAAACGTTTTTTTCCCTTCAACAATATGCAAAGAGCATTTTACTTCACGCAAATTGCTCATTTGCATCTTGTCCTCTTGAATAGTCCAAGAAAGTGAAGCAGGTTACTTTTGTGTTCTATGGATGTTGTGGATATAAGCAGTATCAGACATTCATCTGCTTTCTTCATACTAAAAGCTGTGATTGAGCTGTTTTCTAGATGGATAACGGATGCTTCCCAATTAAATTAACCAGCTTAGCGACCAAAACTAGAATCAAAATCATCCACCTTAGCTACAGATCCCTTCCAGATACTCACAGGAATTTCAGCACTGTATTATCACTGCCGCATAATCTTCGTCAGTGGGAAGCGTAGTACAAATAGACGAATATGACTGTAGGTGAATGTAGCCTACAAGTTAGTGTCGAATGAAAGTCGTGGTGAGTAAAGCAGATAACCAATGGCTTATTAAGGGGAAATCTCGTGTATCTATCTGATCATTTGTCAACATTATCCACATGCGAATGTCTTTCCTTCATCAAGACGTGCACACTCAGCTTATCCTGGAATCTGGCATTTTCAGTTAATATTACTATCTTTTAATATAAAGGGAGTTGACGCGTGTTAGCTGTAATCCCTCTGATGAAATAAAAAAAATATGCTACCTCACACTGGTAGTCAGTGTCACATTTAGCATTTTCTTGTATTCTAGGTGATCCCGTGGGTTTTAAGTGATGATCACTTCTCAAAGTCAACTCCCAACCCGGAGGATACGAAACATACTGTATTTGTTGGAGCTCTGCATGCATTGATTACCGCAGAAGCAATCGTGAAAATTATGGATGATATATTTGGAAATGTTGTTTACGCGACTTTGGATACAGATCGGTACAAATATCCTACTGGTGAGTTTGTACAGTGAAATATAACAGTCATATTGCACCATTATATATGTCGTCGATTAACATGACTAGAGAACTGTATAGATGATTCACTTTGTCAGCATATTATACAACCTATTGACCCAACAGTCCACAATCAGTTGTATGCCACTTCTTTCATCAAAACCGGAAGATATGTAATATATAGGGTGGCACAGTGGTTAGGACTCTCGCCGGCCATGCACATGGTCCAAGGTTCGATCCCCTGTGGACGCACACCTGATATTTATGGTCGGCCTGCAAAATTTAGGCTACCGATATCCATGCTGAAAATTCCATACTGTACCAAAAATACAGTGTGGAATCAAGCTGTAATCAAAAATAAAATAAAAAATAAATAAAAATAAAAATAGTCATAAATGCTGGAGCATGGGACATTCAAGTGTGGTTAATATATGGCTCATTAGACTGAAACCTGAATATTGAAGCGGTAGACTCCTGGTTCCAAGCAATTGCAGGTATGCCTGACCTGATCAGCTGTGTTGAATCATTAGACTTTCGATAAAGTTTGAATCACAATCATGTAAATAGATTTTTGTCAAATTTTCAGCATATATTTAAGCAGCGGTGCATAATACTACTTGCTGTGTAAAGGGATTTATAAGAGTCTTAAGGATTTTCTGCTAATTTACTGAAGATAATGTTAACGACCGTACACTTTTAACAGTTGCTATGACAGTAAGTTGGAATCACTTTTATTTGTAATAAAACAAATTCTCTTCTATTCATTTTGAGAAACTGAATAAAACCAATGTCACTCCCACAGGTGGATGCACACGCGTCAGTTTTGTTTTCTCGCGTATTTCTCTATCTTTCAGGTTCTGCTAGAGTGGTTTTTTCAAGTAATAAAAGTTATACAAAGGCTATTATTGCTAATTTTGTCAATATTCGAACGTGGAAATTCATTAAAACAATTCAAATAGATCCTTATCTAGAAGATACGGTTTGTAGCAGTTGTGCCACATATCCCGGTATATATTTTTGCAGAGCATTAGAATGTTTCAAGTATTTCTGTCCAGCTTGTTGGTATGTACGGCATAAATTATTTGATAATTCCTACATGCATATACCATTACGGCGTGGAGTCAGGATGAACAGTGATCATCAATAACCAGTCGTGGTCAACACCTCGAATATTTCATCAATGAACAAGAAGTGAAGACATTGATGAGTTGTCGAGTATTTTCTCTATTTATCACAAAAAGAAACATTAATGTCTCCTCCTCATACTCTGTGTTCGAACCCTTTTACTTTCTTCATTCGTTTTTATATCAAATGAGTCAACACTTTTAGTGCTACGAGTGTTGAATATTTTTAACGTTTTTTTCCCTTAGGAGGACAGAGGAGAAGTTTGTGATTTTAGTCATTATATAGTTAACTAACTACCTAACTAATGATAATGATAGTTCCAGTTTTATATTTCATCGTAGTTGTGATGACTTTTATCCTAATTTCTCTACATTCCCTCCGTCTCAGTTACTGTCGCCATTTTCTTTTAATGAACCAATTAGTGACTAGAAATTGACAGGGATGTTGTTTTACAAGCAGACAATTTTGAATTCATCTTCTCGCTTCTGCCATTACACCGTCTACTTCTTGGTGTTTTATAACTTACAGAACTGATTGATGATTGTCTTTACTCGAGAGGTATTCAGCATATCTTATCTTAGCGTTTTGATGAAATAAATGGCTTTTAGTAAAATATAAGCACATCGTTTTTAGTATTCTCTTCTTCTTCACTGTCAGAAAACGCATTGAAAAAAGGTGTCTGATGGTTTCTCAGTGTAAGATAAGAGACTAGTGGGTTGACAAAAGAGAAAAAATGCATGGGAAAAATACAAAATTATGGGTGAGTATTGCTTTACAATCTAATTCGATCCATCTACCCACAATATTTTCACCTTTCAAATATCTATCGGTCATTGCAAAAGACAAAATTACAACGAAAATGCAAACTGGTGAAGAAGTCACTCTCATCTTCAGATATCAAAGTTGGACATAATATGAGGCATATTTAGCTTACAAAGTGATGTCGAAAATGACACTCCACATAGAGGCAAACTGTGGAAATTCGTTGAGGTTTTATGTAGGCATCAGTTTATTGATAAAGTTGGACAGAATCTACAACTCTGTTCTTGTGAATATCTTTTTTTAAAATATTAAGTACGAAATGATATATACTCAGTATCTCATGATATAAAGTTCGTTTGCTACTGGCATTATCTTATGTGAAACTTACCATTTGAAGATTTTTACACCAGACTCAGAATTAGTGATCTCAGCGTGTTATACACACAAATGTTCAGCCATGTCATTCATCTATCGGCTGGTATATTTATATTCCTTAATCTCAGATTTGTCTTGGGAATCATACTTTTATTAAGAATTTCTATATAACACGTGTAATTGTTAAATTCGTCTTACAGATAATATTGGGAACAGTATCTAACTATTACTTCAGGTTATCTGACTAGCTGTGAATACAATTGGCTACCTCAACCAGGTGTATCATATTTACGATAAGACTGTAGCTAAATGATTGGATTTTCAACCTGTTCTCACTAATAAACGTGAAGACCGAAAGAGTGTAATGCGTGTACGCAGAAGAAAAGTCTAAAAGTAAGGTGAAGAAAGCGGCCAGTACTCGTTGGTTCTCCTTCTTCTTCTCTTAGTGATGACTTGTGTCTCCCGAATCTTCTGAAGGGTTTGACTGCTCTTCCAAGCAGTGAAGTTAACAGAGTAATGCACCTAGAAAAAGATTGGACAATAGTAGGATGAATTAGGCATGAGAACATGCAGAATTGAGTGAATATGTGAATATATTGATAAGGGTGCATTTTTCCGTACCTAATGTGGACAGTTAGTCAGATTAATGTTTGATTGAATGGAGGATTTCATCATGAGCTGACATCAGTTAGAGAACTGCTGGAAAACATGGGAGCACTGGACAGCTTTTTTGTCCTAGTTTGGGACTCTTCGTCAGTACGCACCAACCGCCACGGTTAGATCTTAGGACCTTCTTGTTACGAGGCGAGCTCGTAGACCACTGAGCAATTGGGACCCGATCCAATGGTTTTTGAATTCTAAATTCTGCCAATTTACGACATAGTGCGACCATTTTGCAATGTCTTCTTCGATGAGTTACTGCCTCATCTTCAACCTGCTGTACCCTACTGGTCATGGCTTCCCACTAGAACCCCAGGTTGACTACCTAATGTATTTGATAACACTGCCGAATAATGTACCATTTGAATAGGATGTCATAATAATATAAAACTGGTAAAATGACTACTGATAGTAAGAAATGACATAAAACTTTGTAGAAGAGAGAATGAGTGCACATTAAAACAGAGAAAAGGAAAGTGGTGTGACAACATATGACAAAGACGAGTGGGATAGGGAATACATGAATTCAGATCAGTGAAAATTTCTAGAATCTTGAAGGCGAAAAGAAGTACATAAGTCTGAACCACTGATGTTATCTTCTGACCAGTGCTAACTCGTTTATAAGTATAATCCTTCGTTAACTAGCACTATATATCAAAGGAGACGGTGAACAAGGATATGTAACACATACTACGATCATCTACTTCCATGAAATTTCTCACTATAAACAAATAGCTTTCTTTACATCAGGTGGTGACTCTCCATAACGCCTTACACAACTGCATGACTATTACAAGTAGCTTTTTTTATGGCTAGCTAACTCAATTCATAGTCAAACGTTGTCACAGCCCCTGTCGGTCAAGAGAGACATGTCACGACAAGTGGTGGACACCTGACAGTATTGCTACCCTCCAAAACATGTCAAAGTGAAAAAAAACAGTTAGATCAATGAAGTCTAATCCCGATCAGATGACTGCTTGTGTTTTGTGATTTTGTAGTGGTTATTTCCTGGTTAGGTAAAACTAAGAACCTCAGGATACTTCAACAGACAAACTGATTATTTTGCTGTTATAACACATCATCACCAAAAATAGGATGATCGAAAATCTACACCAGTTTGATGAAAATCTCTCAGATTCTCATTGACTAGTAGCCACATTAACTGATCTAGTCAGTGATACTATAGTGCAATTATGATAATTCCAATTGTGATATGATAGTGTGGTGAGAGCTGGCTGCTGGTCAAAGTTGGTAGACAGTAATTTACGTCACTGTTTATGTCCCCAATATTGGTCGTGAGAAAAATGAGAACAAAGGCTTTGTGTAGGCGGATACAGTTAACATATAGATGATCTGACATTCAAGAAATAGTCACAAAAAGAGGAAAGATTAACTTTCTGTGAGAAACAGCCACCAATCAGAAGACTGTGTTTTTCTGATAACACTAATCTATAATTAATGTACATGAAAATCTATAAAAAATATGTGTTGATTTCCTTGATAAACGATCTGTTTCCTGGCCCTTGTCTTCTGTTGTTACAATAGTACATGCACGTTTCCACGTACTAATACGTGCTAACATGGATGTACACCGTCAAAGATGAACACCGTTGTATTAAGAAGCACAAATGAAAAATTGAAAAGATGTACTGTCCGAGAAATCAAATTTCAAGGAGCGTGAGGCAAACGCGAGAATGTATACACGCGTAAAATATATATATGTAGCAAACGAAAAGCCATGTTCAATAATACAATAACAAATATTTCACAAGCATATTGTAAAGTTGGTTTCTGTAAGCGTATAACATGCGTACATAAATTACTTTTATAAGCGAACAGTTAGGCAATAAAACTGAAGTCTGAAATAATATATTTGAATGTTCAACAATAATATGAGTTTCCATAATTAAACAGTTCTGATAATGCATAGAAAACTGTCAGTGTACTAAGCTGAAAACCATGCAATTTAATCCTGAGTTTTGAAAGAAAATGGATGGACAATCAATAATACCAATAGTTAAATGCGCTAAGGACAATTGGACTGACAATGATAGCAGAAAACATGTGGAATGGTGCAGATTAGCCGGAGATCCTTAGACTTTAGATAAAAGGGGTTATATAAATAGTAAACACTACACGATTAAATGTAGGTTATGCAAGAAAATTGTCAATGTCTAAACAATAGCAATGTGAATTAGGTATAAAAGAATCGATCACATAAGTGAGCAGTTTTATCTTAATTTCAAATAAAGACAATAAAAAGGAAAATTCACAATAAGCTTAGTGTTGATAATTTGAAGCTGACTTTAAGGCCAGTGTACTCTCCTACCAGATGGCGTTGTTTTCACGGGTTTTTCTGTTGACGTTGTAGTTTTAGTAACTGGAGGTGTTGGCATGTAGTTGAGTTGATCTATATCATTTTCTTGAAAGTCATTGATAAACGCTGGTTTGAAACTATGAAGGCTGATGGATTCTACTTTATTCGGTCATTCTACCGGGATAACTTTGTCACTCCTCTGCAGCCTGTTAAACTATACGAAGACAAGCCTAATACTTGGTGACGAAAAGTATCATCTACTTTGACAGCTCCGGCATTAGCCACATTGACTTTGTAACTACGACACATATCCTCTTGTCCATATCCAGTTTAGTCTTAGTCAGGATGACTAATTTCAACGTGTTTACTAGAAAACTTGGTCCGGCTGCGTAGACGGTCAGGTTGATGAACTTTATCCCTCATTGCTGTGCTTCATAGGGATAAGACTATCAGATGATCAGCTTATATTAAGTAGGCAGGTTTCTGGTTGTATACCTCTACGTTTAGCTCCTCTGTTAAGAGGCTTGCTGCCTCTATCATACATTTGGTCAATAGCAGTTCTGACCAGGTGTCACCTTGATGGATACATCTAATTTCAGGGGTTTAATTCCTTATAATATTCACACGTCAGTTAGGATACGACGATTCAATGTGTCACATAAGGCGTCCTGGTGTATTGTAGCTATTCTAACTCCGGTACTATAAGAAACGAAATCGAAAGATATTGAAATATCAGCTGAACACACAGACATTTTGAACAGACTCCAATTATTACGTTTGGGAATGGAGTCCAAGAATAAACTGACTTTATAACAGACATCCTTTGAAAGAGAAGCAACCTGTGTGCTGACAGTAGGTATATTAAGACTCTACTTTTGAAATGGAACTAATGGGGTCCATTCAGTTAG